CGGTTTTGTTTATATTTTGCTTAGCCTATAATTTAAAATGAAAGATGTTTATTTATTTATTTTTCTCTGCGACTTTCCTACTGTTAACAGAAAAATGTAAAATGAATTTAGTATTTTGACAAGACGAATAAAAATAGCTAATAGGCTATTTTTGTACAACCTACATTTTTTTTCTCTCTGCGACAAGTTTTTCCTATTGTGTTGTCAATGTTAAACGAATTGTATCCTGACAAGACGAATAAAAATAAGAAATACAATTTGTGTATATTTTTATTTTCTCTGACACTTTTTTTCCTACGGTGTTGCATAAAATATGAAACTAATTTTGCGTCTTAAGATAATTCATATAAATTCAAGACTCTTGACAAAGACGAATAAAATAACATAGCCTACAATTTTGTGCAGAATACATTTTTATTTGTCAGCCTATCTCTCTTTCTTTCAGTAGCGGAAATTTAAATGTGAGATTCTGGAAACGAGATCTAAAAGGCCTAGGCTACACCGGGGACGGTCAGGTCGGGAAGAAAATTATTCTAAGCGGACAGCAGGTGAACAAAGAGTGAATATATAGCGGGAGCGGGTGGGTGTGGAATAGAACCTTGCGGGAGCGGGCGGGAGTGGGACTAAAAATACAGTCCCGCGCAGACCTCTACCTCAGCTGAAGGGATCCCCCGAATTTGGTGGAGATCCGCCAGCGCGTTCATGAGATAGTGACACCAGTCAACACTTTTACTTCAGCAAGGAGGTCTCTTGTTCAGGCAGCAGCATTCAAACGTCTTATTCGACAGATACCTTACAGTGAAAATTACTCCATTACAAGTTACAAGTCAGCAATTCCAAAACAACTTGAGTAAAAGTTTTAGAGTATCTGATTTTAACAGTACTTTAGTATTTTACTTATAATAATATAGGCTCAAAGATGCACTAGTCAAAGACACATGCCAGTGAACAACTGTAACGTTGTGGAGAAGCTGCAGAAAACAGGCAGAGGCAAGGATCTATGTGCTGGTATTTCATGGAAAACATTCACATTAAGTATCCTTGTTGACTAGTTTGGGTGAGTAAGGGCAAAACACACAAGATGCAGTACTTTCAGTGACCTGTAATAGGTAGTATCACATCTTTTGCAGCAGAAATAAACTGCTGCAGAAAAAGCTAGGACCATGCAAAATGTAATGTGTAACTGCAACACTCATTTCAAATGTAGTGAAGTAAAGAGTAAAAGTTGCTAATATCTTTGATACTCAGTACAACTACAAAGTACCCGAAAAGATACTCAAGTACAGTAACTAATTACATATACTCCAATACTTTACACCTCTGCTTCTCGCTACAGTGTTTGAGGGAGAGGAGGTTCAAGTTTTCCTGGGTCTTTCATTCACTTAGAGCTGTGTTACACACTGCATGAAAGGTAATTTTCAAAAATCCATTATAGGGGCACTTTAAAATAGCTTTTGATAATGTTATTTATCTGCACATTTACTACATATTATATGCAGTAAATAAGTAGCGGAGCATGAATCAATGCACATTACATGAAACATTAAACATGTTGCTTAAGGTTTCTTATTTGTTATTTACAGACATTTTTGCTCATGTAGTCAGAGTGATGTGAACAGATATAAACACACTCACCTGATACCGTCAGTGTAACTTTATCACTGGTGTGTGAGTATCGTGATCCTCCTGTTTCTCTTCCAGTACAGCTGTAATTACCTGCGTGAGATTCACTAACAGAACTGATCCGGTATTCCTGAGATTGACTGACATGAATCTCTGAATCATCTTTATTCCAGCTGTAGCTCCAGCTGGTGACGTCTGTCTCCTGTATGTCACATGTGAGAGTGACCGTCTGTCCTCCTCTGAACACACGTCCATCAGGCTGGACACGCACTACAGGCTTGGGTCTTTCTGTGCAAAATAAACTGAAGTTTAATTTAACCGACATTACATGATACTGTTGATGGATGCAGATAATTTTCATAATTTTATAGTAAACTCAAAATCCGATTGCCTTGTAAAAACAGCGCTGACCTCCTACTGTTAGCACGACTCCTTGACCTTGTGCTTCGTCTTGTACAGCACACGCATATCTTCCTCCAGCAGAGACTCTCACATCACTCAGTGTTTCTGTTTCAGAACCAGCTTTTATTCTCTGAAAGTTTTTGAACCAGTGAATTGTCCGTCCAGTTGATCGTCCCACATCACAGATGAGAGTAACTGTGTCTCCAGTGAACACTGAACTCTGGGGCTTTACAGTTAATTTGGGCTTGCCTGTAAATATTTCATGATACAATCCTGAGTCATCATCTATCGCTGCTTATGATTTCTGTTATTTATATTAAATGTTTCTTAATTTTGCCTCACCCGTCAGCTTATTTTCTTTGTCATTATGAGTAATATAATTGTATGGCTGTTTTATGCTCTTCTAACATGAGAGGTCTCATAAAGACGACACATGAAGACATGGCTCCTCAAATTGGGTGCTCAACTCACTTGGGTGCTCAACTTTCATTGTTACAATTACAGGAAGTATTTTATTATCATCAGGGAACCATGGTTACATAAGTAACCTGAGACGTTTTTTCTCAGTTGGAGTCAATTAATTGTTTATGCATCTGAGCAAGATCCTGATGTGTATCAGTGATGATCACTCACCCGAAACACTCAGAGTCACAGCATCACTCCATTCAGAGCAGAATGGTTTTCTGCAGCCTTTACACTTGCAGGACTGTTTGAGCTGTACAGTGATCTTGAACTCTTTCTCCTCAGAGTTGTGCTGTTCATCTCCACACTGCCATGTGTATGTCCAATCTTCCCCCTGTATGTCACATGTGAGAGTGACAGTCTCTCCTCTGAATATCTGTGATGGTTCAGGCTGAACAGTCAGACGAGGTTTAGGTGCCTCTATAAGAACCGAACAAACAGAAGTTATGCTAAAACATCCAAAGAAGCCAAAATAATCTACACATCTACACGTATATCAGTGTTTATTTCTTGTCTTTGTCCAGGAATGGTGCAATACATTGAAAACACTTACTGTTGTGTTCCTCTGAAGCCTCTTGCCCTGCATGATGAGAACAATAAACTCACTTTATTTACAACCACCTTTTTTTCTCTGTAAATAAAAGCCCCTCTTAACATGTTATTATTTTTAAGATCATAATGTATATGCATTCTATTTAGTATCACAATGTATATGCATTATATGTGTGAATATTTGAAGAAATATATAAATCACCTTGAGTGTGTGCAGGGCGGATGTTTGAAATCAGCACTGCAAAGTGAAAAGAGACCATTACTGATTAATTATTAGATTTAGTTGATTCTAAATAGAACTACATGAATATCTTTAAGTTTGAAAGGAATTCCACAAGAAAAGCATAGTTTGAATCGCCATTTGAATAACTGATTAAAAGTTTGAGAGAGAAATCAGCTGTTTTATAGAAGACTAATTCAAAATAGCAAACTACAAACAGTGTCAATGGTATTTTTTTACAACAGATTTTAGACCAATTGTATATTGTTAATGAGCAGAATTGCTCGGCTCAACTCTTTCTATCTTCTCTATTCTATCAAATCAGGTCAATCTATCTCTATACTTTCAGACCTATCAAAAATGGACCCAGTCAACACGTGAGATCATGCGATGATCACAGTGACATCA